CTCACTTGCCTGCTGATGGCGCCAAGAGTCTTAGTATATTTCCAAATTCTCTCAAGTGGCTCTTTTTCCAAAGAGCTCCGGGTTGTTGATGTTCTCACAGTTGTGGAGTTTATTTCTTTTTTGTGCAACTCTAAAATGTAAAATAAGTTTAACAGCTGTTTGATTGAAATCATTAACTTCAGGGAATTTAGTTTTAGTCCCTCTAAAACTTTAGCCTATGTCAGTTTTCCTCACTTCCCAGTGCTATTACAGTGTATGTGTGTCCTTCTGGTTCACATTCACTGGTTTTCTCTGCAAAGATAAATTTTTAAACACTAAAGTAGGATTTCACCTTACCATAAATCCAAATCCGGCATTCCCAGAAGACCTGGATTGGAATTTGAAATTTAAACTTTTCCAGTGCAGATCTAAAGTGTCTTTGAGTCTTCCTGATGGAGTTTCCAGTGCACATAATGCTCCACCTAGTGTCAGAACCCAGGTCCTGCATCCACAGGAAACACCATCCAATTAAAACACGTGTATTTTATTTTTCTTCATGGGTTTTGCTTTTTTCTCAGTGTCATGCTTTTATCCATATCCTTTGTCTTTTTAAAAATGTGCCTCAGCCCTCGCAGTGGAGGAGCGAGCCCGACAGCTGCAGATGAAAGTACATTCCTACCGGCCTTCAGCCTCCCACGACCCTGAGATGAACCTCAAGACCAAACGGGAGGTGAGTGTTTGTAATCGCTGCTCACCTCTTCCCTCTGGACTTTATAAACAATGTATTTGATATTTATTCGTCCGTACTGAGCTTCCCACCCTCCTTCTCTTCACCTCCATCTTTAGATGTATGCAGAACAGAGGCGCAGCAGCGACAACATGTCGGCCAGATCTTCAGACAGCGATATGAGCGACGTGTCGGCGATCTCCCGTGCCAGCAGTGCCTCCCGCCTCAGTAGCACCAGCTACATGTCTATCCAATCAGAACGGCCCGGGGGACGACTCAGGTCAGTTGTGACTGTAAAGGCTGCTCTTTAACACCACAGCCATCATTTCTAATATCCTAATTAAACCCAGATGTCGGAGAAGTGCATGCTGATCACAGTCTGTCTTTCCTTTTCTTGCACGCCACTTGCCGTTGCATGTTTGCGTCCTTCTGCATGCTCTGATTCTTCCATCCACACGCACGCAAACAAACACACGAACGCACAAACACACATAACTCAGATCCAAGTCGTTAGAGGAGGACAAGAAGGACAGGAGGATCTCGTGGGGGGTGGATGGAGAGGAGGAGGAGAACGAAGGTGGAAAGAGGCAGTTCTCCGAGGAGCTGAAGCACAGGAGACACACTGTGGCAGGAGACACGAGAGAGTCCAGGTAAAGAGTTCCCACGCGGTGAATCCACCGATGATGGTCCATCTGCTCACTGCACAACTAGGTCCACATAGATCAAGTCCAAAGAAAGGCCTTCAGAAGCTATTAAAGGTGGAAATATAAGCAGTTTATATAGAGGTGGTTTATTATAGTTTATTGTAGATGTAGACAGGCTCGCAGTGGCTTTAACAACAAATTAGGAGAACTAGATCACAGATGTCAAACATAAGGCCCGGGGTCCAGGATCAGTCCGGCA